CCCCAGGTGTCCCCAAGTCAGCCGCTGCTGAAACTGACCAGTGGCTGACTACAGGAAGCCCCTGCCCCGGGCTTCTTGGAATCAGCCACTGATCAGTTTCAGCAGCGGCTGAATCTGGACACCAGTTCCGACTTACATACAGATTCAACTTAAGAACAAACCTACAGTCCCTATCTTGTACGTAACCCGGGGACTGCCTGTAGTTGGGATTGTTTTCCAATGTGCATCACTTTTCCTTTACAAACAGTAACACTTCTTGTTTTGTAAAGTGCTGATCACTCTTCTTGTTACTTAAATAATACGCTTTTTTCCCCAAAATTTAAGCAATTAGTTTTGGTTGTATCATGCCCTTTTCTCATTCTGTGTTTTTGGGGATCTCCCTTTTTATCTTTTGTAGCTGTCCTCCTTTGTGTCTCGGTTCCTATTTTGTTGAAGCACTGGAAAATGCTGTGGGAGAATGTGGGCTATTAATTTTTTTCCAGTATCAGAAATTCAATACTTCGCTTCATTGGCTGAAGTGCTGAGGAAGGGTGGAAATGAGATGCCTGCCAGAAGATTTTCTTCTGTCTCATCATCACAGCAAACAAGTGAATGAGGCAGGGTCAGAAGTTGAATTTTGTGAATATCAGATTTTTTTTTCCAGTTTGCTGGCAGCTCATGGCGGCGGCGGCGGCGGGGTCGGGGGAACCCGAGTCAACCCAAAACTTGACTTGTTTTCAATTTCATCTAATTTTAATTTTGGGCAAAAACTTAATTTTGAGTCAAATGAAACATTTGCTTCACATGAAATAAAATGTTTTGAGTGAAAAAATTACACTTTTTTTCAATGAAAGCAAATGATATTTTGGGCTAGATGAACAAAAAACTGAGGTAGTGACCACTTTTTATCCAATAGCCCAGGATCAGGAACTTGAATCCACGTCTCCAATATCCCAGGTGGGTGACCTAATGATCAGACTATTGGCTATTAAGGGATGTGTCTCTGAGTCTCCCCTGTTTAAGCTTGGAGTGGGGACTGGAACCTGAATGAGTCTGCTTTTCCTGTTCCACACACATCCCTTGTTAGTGTCATTCTCCCTTTTTGGATGAATAGATTTTTTTTTTTTCATACAAAGTGGAACAGTTTCAACAGGAGATCTTGGAGTTATTGTGGATAGTTCTCTGAAAACATCCACTCAGTGTACAGCGACAGGCAAAAAAGCAAATAGAATATTAGGAATAATTAAAAAAGGGATAGAGAATAAAACAGAGAATTATCTTATTGCCACTATATAAAACCATGGTACACCAAGATCTTGAATACTGTGTACAGATGGTTGCCTCAACTCAAAAAACATATATTGGCATTGGAAAAGGTTCAGAAAAGGGCAACGAAGATGATTAGGGGTTTGGAACAGGTCCCATATGAAGAGAGATTTAAAAAAAAACTTGGATTTTTCAACTTAGAAAATGAGAGGAGGGAGGGAGGATATGATAGAGGTTTATGAAATCATGACTTTTGTGAAAAAAGTGAATAGGGAAAAGTTATTTATTCCCACAGTATAAGAACTAGGGGTCACCAAATGACATAAATAGGCAGCAGGTTTAAAACAAACAAAAGGAAGTATTTCTTCACGCGGCATATAGTCAACCTGTGGAACTCCTTGCCAGAGGATGTTGTAAAGACTAGGACTTTAACACGGTTCAAAAAAAGCTAGCTAGATTCATGCAGGTTAGATCCATCAATGGCTATTAGTCAGAATGAGTAGGAATAGTGTTCCTAGCCTCTTTTTGTCTGGAAATGGATGGCAGGAGAGGGATTACATGATGATTACCTGTTGTGTTCCCTCCCTCTGGGGCATCTGGTATTAGCCACTGTCGGCAGACAGGATACTGGGCTAGTTATACCTTTGGTCTGACCTGCTGTGGCTCTTCTTAAGTTCTTATGAGATATAGAGACATAGGGAAAACTGAGTGAGGAGTTGAAGCTGATCTCTTGTATTCCAGGTGAGCAACCTAGCCACTGGACTGTTGGGTGGAAGGATTGTAATGGCAGCACAACCGTTTCAGTCACCTCAATTTTGTGAATAGCTCTTAAATACTTTTGTGATCAAGCCTAAACAAAATCAGTTCTAATTCCTAATCACTAGGCTATAGAATCATTCTGACTTTTTCTGGCCCAGAAGAGCTAATACATTAGCTAAACACAAAACTTCCCATGGTTGAGCAAATGAAATCTTCCCTGTGCGAATTAGGCAGGTGAAGGATTAACCGATTAATTGGTAAACCTCACCCTTAACAAGTGAGGATTACTGATTAAGAATAACTTGTGGGGCTGGAACAGTTCCCCACTTGCAGTGGTCAGGAGGGCTGATCCAATGCGCAGCAACTGCCTGTGGCAGGCCAGGCCCCGCACAGGCAGGAGCTGCTCCAATTGGGATGCTGGAGTAGCATCTGTCTCTGGCCCAGCTGACACAGCCCCTGCCTGGCAGCTGAACGGGGGGAAGCCTTCCAGCACAGCGGTATGGAGCATACGGTTAGTACTGAAAAAGTGTTTGCCTTTTCTTAAGTAGTTCTTGATCTTCTGGTTATGAAAATCTTGTTCTTGGATCTGATTAGAAGACTTGAAAGGCTAAATTTAGAATAAAAAAGTTGGTTTCTAATATTTTTGCATGTAACTTTTCATACTGATTATTCAAGACTATGTCTAGCACTTTCATCCTATATCCTGAGAAAACTTGCTTAGTTATATAATGTTCATCATTTCCTATTCCTTAAAAAGAGGTTTGAATCTGGTAACATGGCTAGATTACCAGCTCCTGTACTTGTATACGTTTCCTTCAGTAGATGAACATGCCCAAAATGATTTTCCAGGCCTACTGCCTAGATTGTTCTTCATAGCCACTTCTGCTATAGGAATAGAAATTCGTCTCATTGTCACATTCCTGAATAACAGGCCATTTTGTAAGAAGGCTCACATTCATGTAGTTTGAAAAAAAGCTGCAGTGAGATTCATAGTTAAAAATTAAAAGAATATAGTTTTTTTATATTTAATTTTTCCTCTCTATTTACAGAGACTGTGCAGTTGACCCAACATGTGTGTTATGTATGGAGTGCTTTTTGGGAAGTATTCATAGAGAACATCGATACAGGGTTAGTAATTTTATAAGCAAACAGATTATCTACATCATTCATCTGTTTAAAATAAATACAATTATCATATTGTTAAAATAGCTCTAGAGCACAGGAGTTGAGAGGTTGCATACAGCATATAATGTATTTATAGAACACAGAAATTACAAGCATGGTCCGAGATTGACATGATTTTACCATATTTATTTGACTAGCATACATGAACATTTCTAACAGCAGAAGGGTTAATGCATTGGTGTTTTCAGTATACCTAGATCTTGTATATGCATAAAGTTTTGTGTGTTTTAAACATCTTCAGATGACAACATCAGGTGGAGGAGGTTTCTGTGATTGTGGTGATACGGAAGCATGGAAAGAAGGTCCATATTGTCAAAAGCATGAACTTAACACAGCAGACACCACAGAAGAGGAGGTAATAAATAACATGTATTTTGCTGTATATTTAAAAAATGTGTGTCTGTCTGTTTGTTCAAGAACTCCTCTAAACTGTAAGAGCTAGGACTACCAAATTTGTTATGCAGCTTCTTACTGACACTTTAATCAAGGACAGGGTTTCCTTTTGCCAGGATAATGGGAGTGCATGCAATTACAACGGGAAGGTTCTGTCAGGAGAGAGTTAATCTGCAGCATGACCCCAGGGGGACAGCCAGAATCCAGAGATAGGGACTGGGATAGGTATAATAGGTATATTGAGCCAGCAGGGGGCGGCGGTAGAGACAGAGAAGGGGACAGTGATCTACTATATATTTCAGTGAGCTTCTCTTTTTGGCTTTGTCTACAGTACAAACTTTTTGCAGAAGACGCAATGCAAATGAAGCACTCATTAGCATTTTCTCACTCTTCATTTGCATAATCTTCTGATCCTTTGTGCTCAAGAGGTTTTTGTGCAAAAACAAGCAGTATAGACATGTCTGTTCTGCGCAAAAACCCCTTTGAATTTCCCATGCTTCATTTGTATAATGGCAGCTGTGCGTTCTTTCAAAAACGGGTATTACGAAAGTGAAACTGCTGTCTAGAATCCTCAAAAAATGAGGTTTACAGGATCTTTTGTTTTTTCCGAAAGAACTGCATCTAGACAGTGGTTTCACTTTTGAAATATGTGTTTTTGAAAATGCACGGCCACCGTTATGTAAATGAAGCATGGGAAATTCAAATTGCTTCATTTGCAACTTTGATCTGTCTAATTTACATTCCTTTTTCAAAAGAGGGATGTAGTTTAGACATGCCTTGAAAGGGGCAGAGATGTAGTACAAGTGGTGGAACTGTAGAGGGAGTGGAGGTAACTGGGAATGGGAGTCGGTGGTAGCGGAGGTAATGGGGAATGGAAATTGGTGGTGGTGGAAGAGATGAGGTGGGGCAGGGATCTGTGGCACATTGCTGCCCGGTGGGTCCTGGAGCCCTGGTGTGGTGCGCACAGCTGCCCAGCGGATCCCAGCATCATGGCTGCGATGACTACCCAGCGGGGCAGCAGGAGGTGAGAGGCCAGTGGGCCAGGTTGGGGCGGGGGGGCCAGCAGCAGGGAGTCCAGAAATTACCTCCCCTGGTCTGGCAAAATCCCTCATCTGAGACGAGTAAGGTCTGCAAGGTGCTGGACCAGGGAGGTTCCAGCATGTATCATGAACTTTTGTGGGCAAAACAAAAGCTCACGATACTATCTATATTTTTTTTTCTTGTCTCTAAGGTGCCCCAGGACTATTCGTTGTTTTTAAAGTTATAGACTAACACGGCTACCCTTCTGAGACTTTTTTTTCCACTATCACTCATGAAAAGTTTTCTGCTATAGTACCCTCTTACTCTCCTGGAATGTACTTTTTATGCCAAATGAATTTCTCAAAACAGCAGTAATATGATGCCCATCAGCCCTGCATAATACTAATGAATCAATCAACTGGAGCTTTTTGACGTTAAACTAATTCATGGGAACATTGACTTGGTGTACATTTAGATTATTTTAATTCTTCTAATGGGAAGAATAACTTTTTTTTTTTTTTTTTTTTTTTTTTTTTTTAAGGAGAAAGCACAGTAGCCAGGAAAATAAGAGGAAAATGGTTACTGGAAAGTCACTGTATCTGTATTAAACGATAATTTTAGTAGATTATATATTTTGGCTCCTGAAAATAACATCCCAATATCATGCATTATTTGCTTACTTAAATACATATTTTAAGCTTAACTTCAGGCTGTGGATTTCATGGTTCCTGATTTTTGTATGTATGTCTGTGTGTATATTAAAAAGCAAGTATTTTAAACCAAAAATACATCACTCAGTTCTGATGACTAAAGGATAGATTCTTCCACATTCCTTATATCTGGCAGAGAAAGCATGGCAGAGTGTGGTCCTGTATATGTGAAGACTATTATTCAGGTTAGCACAGATTGGATCTCCGTGGTCTGGCATCATTGGGACCAAACCAGTCCCGGACAAGCGATCTTGCTGAATAAGGGGAGGTTAATTCCGGTATCCATCTGGCTCCTCTGCCAGCCAATTTGGCGCTCATCCTGGCCATAGGCCTGGCTTCTGGTCTCCCTTCCTGCGCCCCCATTTGTGCTGGGCTCCTCTGCCAGCTCTAGGCTCCTTTCCCTGGGGTTCACTGATCCAGCAATATCCACGGTCCTGCTAGAGATTCAACCTGTACTGTACTATAAGTGACCACTATGCAAGGGAAGCAACATTTTGCTGGTCTTTATCAGTCACATACAGGCAGTCCCCGAGTTACGCGGATCCGACTTATGTCGGATCCACACTTACAAACGGGGCTTTCTTGCCCCGGAGCTCGCAGGCAGCGGGACTGCCCAGAGCGCAGCGGTCCTGCCACCTCGACCTCCGGGGCGAGAAAAGCTGCTCCGGGTGCCCCTGGTCTGCTGGGGACC